TGCTGTATATTACACTGCTCTCACACTCTTTCCTGGGATCTGTCTTAGACACCATCAGGAATGGCTGCTGGGTAAATTGGAAGCTTGATCAGGTAAAATAGAATAAGGAGGGTCTTTATGAATTAATCTTGTAAAAAAAGAACTAAATATTTAGTGTATCTGATTATGCATAGGTGTTCTTTGAATTTTCCAAATACTGCCATTATCAGTGCACAACACTTGCTCTACTTGTCATATTTCTATATGTTTAAAAAGACAATACAATTTCTTTAATAAGATTAATTTGGCACTCTGCACTCTGAGAACCTTTTCATATCACTTTATTTGGAATCAAATCATTGTGTATCTTTTTCCTTTTGGGTAACTGTCCTCTGTTCCAAAGCCAAAACTGAAAATAGAAAATTAGTTAATTAAAAGCATAATATATGTTACATATCATGAGCTGTCTTGCAGAATAAATTTCACAGTTGCCAATCAAGCAAGCCCACAAGTAAGACCACTCAGGTTTAAGGAGCTGCTCTCTCAGTTTTCTTTTTCTGCTTTTGCTGTGATTATAGTAAATTTACCACAGTACCATCACTCATGCTTTAGGACAGGACCCTCGCTGGCTGAAATCAGCAATAGTTCTGTTTAGGCATTTAAAATAGTATCAGAGAGCCATACTTGGAGGAATATTTGGAATATTTGGTTCTTTTAGTTGCATGAAAAACCTAATAAAAATACTGTGTGGCTCATAAATAAATCAAAAGAGTTTGCAAAATGTCAGGTGCAGAGAAACTTGTAGGAAATAAGATCCCCTTTGAAGCAATGTGCTGTATACTGCTGGTGATAGGCTTTCATTAGCTTTATTAGCTTCATTTCATTAGCTTTATTAGCTTCAGCTTCTTAATTTGTACTCCGGCCATCAAGTCCTTGTCTCCATTCTCTCACAGACACTCTGTATAGTCTGGGTGCAGGAAGACTTGTTGCTGTATTTTGCAAACACATTAGAAAGTGCAATATTGTTAGACATGTCCTTGGATGCCCTGTGACTTGCAGCAGCAGCAGGAGTGATGATCTTGTATTTAGTATCAAACAATAGCTCACTATAGAATTTTCTGAACTAGAGTTGGCTTCTCACCATGTCCCAGTACCAAGCTGGCATTTCACAATAGAGGAATCAAATGTCTTTTGGCAGCATCTGATGTCATCATTGCTTAGGGCCTGATCTCAGAATTTGGCTGTCATGAGTCACTTCATCTACTCAGTTGTGTAAAACAGAAAAAATGTGGGCATCAGCAGTGCTGTGACCTTTATACAGTTTTCAGCAGATTGAAAGAAGGCAGAACTGCTATTACTAATTTTAAACTGCTAATATATATTGGGCTTCTTCAGTCCATGAAGCTAATGAAAGTCTATCACCAGAAGTATACACCATATTACTTTAAAGGAAGTCTCATTTGAACCCAAGAACTCACAAGTAAAATGGCAGTGGAATGTGCTTGGAGAGAAGTGTTGCACCTCATTTTGCACTGTTCTGGGTTGTGTATTTGCTTCCTAAGATAGGACAACTCCTATCTTCCTTTTGGCATATTAGCTAGAGTTGCATTGAGAAGCAAAAGAAAAAACGATCACTTTAGTGTGCAAATATCACGTTTAGTATTCAAAGTTATAGTTTATGGTGAAGAGCTACTGAAATTCTACAGAAGAAAATATTCTGTATAATATGCATTTATTACTAATCTGCAAAACCTCTGAGGCTGTTGGGATAAAACTGGAGTTTCTTTCAGAGCTTGTGATCTGGCCAATCTGGTCTGTTTGTAATATACAATATCACTTGTGGAGCTTGACTGGTATAATAATTGGGTGCTACTTAAGTAATATTTGAGCAAGATTTAAACTGTAAGTGAATTATGGGATGATTTCATATGGTGGTCATCAGCCACAGCTAATTATGTGAGGAAAATGGACCAGAGCTTCATATTCTGATCCTTTCCTATATTCTTCTACCTTTAGTAAAGTTATGTTGCTCCTCCTTCCTGTCTTATACAGGTACTGATTGAAGACAAGAATAAAGTGTTTGTATAAGAAAGAGGATTTTAAAATATAAACACGATATTAATAAACAGTAGGTGTTAAAAGATTATCAAATTAAAGAAGGCTGAACAAGTTTAAGATTTCAGAGGTATCTTCATCGTGAGTTTTGTGGTACATGTTGATGTCTGAAAGTCCTTTCTTTTGGGGACATGCATAACATAAAGCTCTTTCTTTTAATGTTATCATTGTGACTATGATAGCTGCATAATAAAATTTTTAAATGTGGTGTTTAAGGACTAAGCAGGAAAAGATTTGACATACTAGCAGTTTGATAACAGTCTGCTAGTTGTGCCAGGCTTTCAGTTTCCAAATCAAACTTTTTGTCTGTATCCTTCTGGTGGTCTTTCTTGGAGAAATTGCAGTGGTGTAGTTGGACCATGGGGTTTCCTCAGTGAAACTGGGTAGGTTTGATCTGGTCTGTTCCCAGTTGAAGCTGGGGTTGATGAAATGTTCAGTCTCCTTCTGTTACAAAGATCACAGTCATTTCTGCACACCTCATGCTGCATTGTATATACTCAGAACCAGAATTTATCTCTGGCAAGAGCTGTGCTTCCTGAATTATGTTTGGCATGCCTGTTCTCAGTTGTGAAGTATTTATCAATTTCCTGGTGTCAGCTGCTGAATCCAAAGGGATTATGGTCCCTTTTAAATAAAATCCAATCTTGTCATCTGCTACTGAATCCAAGAATTATTATCACTTGTTTCATGGGCTTCTTATCAACAGCTTATTTTGGCCTATTGGTCTTGAAACATTTTCATAACACCTCATCAGCACCTGATTTTGCTAATTCATGATGTGGCTGAAGTTGAAGTAAAGGTGGCTCTGCCATCTAGTTTGATTTAGATCTATTGCTGACTTAATAATATGGGCAAAAATGGCAGCTGAGCGTCTGTCTGCCTTTTTCTGTAATAAATGTACATAAAGAATCTCTGCATCTGCTAACTGATGCTGCAGATTGCTTTCCCTTCAGTGGAAATCTTTCCAAATGGTCTCAGAAGCAGCAAGAATAGATGCTTGTGGTTGTTTTTCCTGGCATGTCAGTGGTGTATGGAGATACCTCGTTTCTGCTTCCTCTGTTTCTGTCACTGCAGTTTATAGGTTGGCCATTAATTTTTCTGTCAAATTGCAGTCTGGAGCATATGTGTTAGATGGCATCTACAATACATGGCACCTGCATGCTCCATACTGTTTGCTTAGTTCTGTATCAATACATTATCATTATATTTCTTTCACTGATCACTTCTGTTGCTCTTTCGATGAGTGGCATGTTTAGACTGGGTCTGTTGCTTTAAAAATGTTGGATTTATTTGCTTCCATTTTTTCTGAGATTAATTGTGGGTTCCAAGAATGAGAACTCTGTAGTATAAACTTTTTTTTTTTTTTTGCAATTACTTATTCAGGTAAAGGCAAAACAAAACACTTTTGTGTCTGTTGTTCTTTCTACTGGGCTCCTTGAATATGTTGATGATCTGTTCCAGCATTTGGGGGACATTATTCCAGCAGGATTGTCCTGATCATCTTCCCCCCATTATAGCCCCTTAGTGTTATACCAATGATTTTTTTTTTCTCCTTCCATTACAAATTCTGCAGGGAGACTTAGTTCTGGTGTTCAGTTTTACTGCTTGGACACAGATTTTGTTTGGAAATCCACCATACCTGGCATCACTCCATGTTGATGATTTCCTTTGTTTCTCACCCTTATTTTGTCTCTTTGTAAATTGTGTTTTCTATATTGTTATGGAACTCACAAGATCGACCTCTGCTGTCATCTTCCATATGCCACATGCTGAGTAGTAACATAAGAAAACAACGCATTTCTTAAGGCTTTAAATTGAGAGAACTGTAACAGAACTGAAGCCTTGTGGCAAGCCAGTTTTCCCAGATGAGAAAGACTACATTTAAGGCCTTTGGTGCTATTAATTTTTAAAGGCTGCCAAGAATGAATAAAGTGTGAGTGAGGCCTGGTGGCTGACAGGGATGGAGGGGCCTGAGCTAACCGTGATACACCAGTGCCCCTGACTTCTCTCCTGACTTCATTTTGGAGCACTTTCAACATGAGGTCAGGGAGGCATTTCCAGGGGGAATAGACTTGCCAAAATATGCCTTTATACCCCAGTGCTGTGCTGGCAGTGATGTGGTGCTCAGCAGGTGGAGGGGCTGTTACAGAGAGATTTGCACTGGGAGAGGTAGGATTCAGGTGCAAGGCTGTTGAGCTATTTTGAGTGTTTTTCGCTCTTTTTAGCCCATTCTGATTAGCTGATATCTGAGGGAAATGTTTTTTACAAATTTATGATGAAATGTAATCATTCTTTGTTGCAATTCTGTCTATATTTACTAACTTCCAGTTCCCTGAATGTCAGAAGTAAACATGAGAGGCTCATTGCTTTAACAGTCTCCTCAGATAATTGTCTACCCTAAGCCCCTCTTTCTTGCTTCATTTCTTTATCAAAATCATCCTGCATGCTCTCTAGTTGTCTCTGGGGCTTTCCTGCTGCCTGCTCTATCTGTGCCTGTATTTTTGCCCTTTCTCGTCCTTGGTGAACTGAACTGAACAACATTCATTGCCCTGAGTGTGAACTTGGTCCCTAAGGAAAATTGCAGTGGTTGGTTCTTTTACTAGGCCTCTGTTTGGGGTGCTGACCTTCAGCGTTTTTTCTCTTCCATGTAAGTGTTGTAACCAGCTTTTTACATTTAGCCTACTACGTTATATTCAATAAAATGTGACCCCTAAATTCAACTCTACTATCAGACAGATTAGGTATTCCTATTTATAAATGTCACTGGGCTTTTTTTTGTATGCTGTCAAACTGCAGTTCTCCTTTTCCCCACATCAAATTTTACTTCTTTTGCATAGACCCCATGTTTCAGAATAGAAAATAATTGACTTTTAGGGTCACTCAGGGAAGATATTTTGTTTTCCCAGGTTTCTGGGCGGGGCACTTCAGCCAATCACATTTGTTGAAGAAGATCTCACAGACATTTCAACTTGGCCTTGTTTCCTGCCAATAGCACCTGGCAAGAGAGCTACGTAAGTTAAATTGCAGATATAGTAAAGATTTATTTTAGGTAAAGGCTGTTTGTAAGATGTTTGTGTGCCAAGTTATGTCTGGAGTAAACTTTTATAGCAAGCACTAAATCAGAAGCAAGCAGTACAGAAAGAATTGTAAAGGGGAGTGAAATAGAAAGGCTGACAGATCTGTAACTATAATAAAAATGGTTGTGGAGAATTCTATGGCATTAACTTAGATAATTGCCAGAGTCGTAAAATCCAGATTTTTCTGTCTTCAAGACTCCTGGGAGCTGCTGGAGAAGAAGAAAATTAAATGTAATGGTTCATATATAATTCAGAATTTTGTTGCTTTTTATCATTCTCAAAAGAGTAAAAGTGACCTACTTTCTATATGTTGTAGTTTAGTGGGAAATTCCCCTGACTCCCAGTGTTAGCATGCTTGTTCTCCTCTTAAGCAGGTGCTAACTCTCATCTCTGCTTTACTACTGCTGGCATAGTATGTGCTAAATGTGTTGTGACATTCTTTCCTCTCAGTGTATGGTGGAGATGGTTGTGCTCCTTCCCCAGTTCCAGTTTTGTTAAGCCTCTGGGATTAATGCAGGATCTAAATTAATTTTCTGTATGTTAGTTGTCAACCACAGTAGAAGTGATTAAATAACAAGCTCTCCTCTAAGACTGATGTTTTTGGAATCAGTAAGTTATATATAATGATGATTTAAAGGGGGGAAAAAAAAGATAAAGCTCAAAGACATGGATAAAAAGGCACCATTTCTTCTTTATTTGTTACAATATATATTTGGAAAAAAGTGTGATAGGATAATTAGAAATGTTCTTGGAACTCTGGCAAGAGTCAATATTAGCTCCATTGTACGGATGGATTAGAACTGGAAACATTTCAATCCAGAAGGCTTCTTCCATTCCATGTTTACAAAATCCAAGGAGGACAGTCTAAAAAATCTGGGTGAGGAAAACTAGGAAATTGGACTTTAGGTTACACATCAAGACTGTCTTCAATTACAGTATGATACTTCAGAAGTATGTTAGGGAGAGTATGAAAACAATCAGTTCTGATCCTGCCCTCCAAGAAAAGCCAATGTTTAGTTTTCTGGATCTAGCTCTATGTGGAGGAAAAGAAGATAAATTTAATGAGTTTATACTTTTCCATCATTTTGCTAGTCTTATTAATGATTGAGAAAATTCTTAAAATTTTTCACTTTTCCTATTCCCTTCATAGATAGAGACAGATAAGAGAACATGTTAATCCTCTTTTGCTGAAAAAGGAACTTTATTGACCAATAAGGGATTCTGGGCTGTAGGATGGACAGTGCTCTAGTTATTTTTCCAAAGAGAATTTGCTACACAGTTTGATTCTCAGGTGTACATACAAGAGGAAAAACAAAATAATGCTTTTCATTAAATGAAATGTATCCTTTATCCTTCCTTTCATTAAATGAAATTTTTGCAGGGAAATATTTGAAAAATAATAATGGTTTTCTTTAGCCATGTTCTATGTAGTTATTTATTTGAAGTAAGCAGTTTTCTCCAGCTATGGATATTAGACCAGTTAGTAAGATGACTTGTTCATATATTATTACTCTTTTGATCCAAGTCTTAGGAGTTGGGAGTTCGGTTCCAAAGGGAATGAATTTATGTATGCAGGACACGTTGTTCAAGGAGCTAATACTTACAGTAAACAGAGGTTGCCTAACTGTTGAGTAATGCTACAATAGTTATTTCCAATATTTTGCAAGAAACAATGTTCATGCAATGTTTTACCACTAGCAATTTGTTAGTGGTTTTAATTTAATGCCAAAAATATTGCTAAGTGCTGTAGTTTCAAAAACATGGAACATCAAATATTGGGAACTATACCTTCTTTATATTTTTGTAAGGTAAGACATGCATAAAAGAGGCGCAGGTTTTTTTTCTCACATTAATGGTACTTTAAAATCTGAATAGAGTAGGAACACTCTTGTGACATCACAAATAGTAAATTATATACATTGAAAGGAGATGCATGTGTGTGCAACTTATGTTGCAGGTTAAAGAGAAAGTCTTTAAAAATGCTTAAAAGAGGTCTTTCTCCAATTAATTAGGTCAGGAAGGCAGATACAATCTAAAGTGGCCTTATTTCATCTTCTGCTTTTGGAGAAATCATGTGTTTACATTAGAGTCAGGTCAAAACTAGCAGTACTACAAGTCTATATGCAATTCTTTGTGTAGTGTATTACATTTATTGTGATTAATATTTGAATAGAAAAAGTTATAAAGTGAATAAAAATAAATTATCTGTAAAGTGTCCCTAGATCTCCCTCACTCCAGATCCTATAAACATTCAGAATATTGCTCTACTTAGTGTACTTGGTACCTTAACATTATTGCTAGAAATTTTCCTTTCCACTGGAAATAGGAGGCAATTTCCTTGTGGAATTCATCTTTAACAAACAGTACTATTAATGCAATTCTCGCCAAGTTCTTCCATTTGAGATAGAAGCAAGTTCTTTTTTTAAAGAGGGATAACTAAAGGAAAAAGCAGATGAAATTCTTTTTAAATGTCTTACTCTTGTTAAGTCGCAGAAAGAAGCAAAAGAAGTTTATGTCCTATGCTTTTGCTTTCTCTACTGCTGTGTCATTTATGTAGGTATGCATATCTTTATAAGTTTACACATATTTACATGTCTATATTTAATAGAGACGTAGTCCTCAGCTAGATTTGATTAAACCTACTTTTCTCTAATTAGACACTTGAGTCCAAAGTACTGGATTCTAAGCATGAATACTCTGTAGGGGAACTAGGAGTTTCCCAGCATTTCTTCCACCAGTTTAACAACTGTTTGATTGCTGATGCAATCCTATCATTATCACCTTCTTTAAAAATAGCAACATAATTGTTGGCCTGAAGTTAGTAAATTCATGTGTATTTTTTCATGTGGTATAATACTGTGCATACCTACATACAGACAGTTTTTTTCACAAAAGTATCTACATTGCATTAGCTGTTGTGGGTTTGCAGTTCCAAGCTGATTGGTCTTTGCCTGCTTCATTTTGTTAAAATCTGAGTAAAACTTTAGGTGGCCCTTTGCAAGGCTTGCCTTCAATGAAGACCCAGAATTTAGGATATGAGACATATTAACTGGTTATTATTTCCATCAAACTCCCTCCCAATTAACATCCACTTGTGCATGTCCAACTCCATAATTTCTCATTTCTCTAATCATTACTTTTTTAATAACTAGGAGCAGAAGCTGTACCAGTGTGGCTACACCTGTATGTTTCAGTACAGAAAACCCAAGAAATGTTTAGGTATTCACACTAATGCCACCCTCTAGAACTTGCTTTGCAGATAATCTGTTCCTTTAAAATATTCCGTGTCTCATGTTATTTGATGAAGCATCCATAGAAGAAGATTGTCTTTCCATACACGTGGTGGTACATGGAAAAATGTCTGTAAAGGCTTGTCAGACACCTCGTGAAATTTTTGATGGAATGCTAGCTTGTTAGCTTAAAGGCAAAATATGGAGCCTTGTCTTGTAACACGGAGAAAAAGCCCAGTACTGATACAATCACATGAAGGAAAGAAGCCTTTGCAGGAAACCTGTGACTCTAGCTAAAGAAGCAGGTTAATTGTGATTAGGATGCTGGCAAAGACTGTGCTTTGGGGTGGAAAAGTGAGCATACAGTTTTCTGGAAAATGACTGTGAGAAGGAGATGAAGACATGCCGAGCAGGACAGGTTCCAACCACCCAAATGCACATCAGGGGTGTGAGTGCTTGGGCAGATACCTGCAGCAGTGCAAGACAGGATGTAATCACAGATGCAGAATGAGGTAGCTGTTCTTTGTTGTGAAAAATGGTCCCACATCCTTTCTTTGGTGTAGTTAAAAGAGCTTAAGCAGAAAACAAAAGAAGATACAAAATAAAAGAGCAGAAATTAGTGCAAAAAATGCAAAGTGATGAAGAGGAGCTAATGAGGTGGATTGAGAGGTGGGAATGGTGTTAACGAAATGGAAATAATACTTCTGTAGAAATTATATATGAGAATGATGTGAGTCAAATGAGAAAGCTGAATGTAATTCCATTACTGTGGGACTGAATAGCATGAAAGGAAAAATTAAGGAAATGTCAAGGAGGCAGCAGATAAAAGAAAGGTTGTGTTAGGGTGATATGTCACTGAGGAAATGATTTTCACACTGATTGGTGTATTTTCTCCAGTGTGTTTCACTGCTTATTGCCTTTCAGAACTGATATCTTTCTGATGATTGGATGTCAGAATATTTTGTTCCACAAAAGAAAGATTTGCTTATGGGATTTCATATACCTGTTTTGTGTGCTATTTCTTGTCATTAACCATGTCTTCTTCCTACTGCCCTTTAAACCTGATGTAATGCTGGTTTATACATCTCCTCCTAAAGAAACACTCAACATGAGCAAGTCATAAAAGTATTCTTCAGAGTTTGCCAACACTTGAGGGCAGGAACACTCAGACATTTTTGAATACTTTGGTTCTAATTTAGCACTAACTGGAACATACCTCATCTCCACAGTGTTATTTTCTTTAGAAAAGAACATTGGTTTCATATACAGAACAAAAGGATGATCATTAAAACCCATCTGTGGGCCTCTTTAATAAGCAGAAGCATGAGATAACCCAGAGAGCTTTTGCACAGCAGTACATTGAAACTTCATGTCAGCAAAGTTTGCAATACTCAGAGATTGTTGGGAAGGAAGAAAGTAGAAATCCTTAACTGTTAACCAACTCAACCAGTAACCAACTAAAATTCATTCCACACTCTAGCAGATATGAATGTGTCCTTTGATTCTGCATTCCCTAACCAGTGGCAATGAAGTGTCCATATTTTCATATCTAAACATTTATGAGGAACTTCTTCCTCTGGAGGAGTAGAAATATATTTGACATAAATAGTGCAGCCTTTTCAATATCTACTTGACACACACATATTTTTCCACCAGCGGACATTGCTCAGACCACTACAGCTGTGAAATACACAGAGAAAAGCTGGTCAAGGCAAGGAAAAAATTACCAAGCAGGAATACAAATTTTGGAGCATGAATTATCAAAAATTCTTATCTTCTATGTGAGGGGATGCTAGAAAATGTTATTATTTTAGATTTAGTTGCATAGGAGCTGGTAAAAATTGAGATTTAGATATTGGGGACACATATAAACACTTTACCATATGATAAAAAATTGTACTTAATATATGAAACATTATTAGTAAAATTAAAAAGAGCTGGTCACCCTGTTTTACTGGGTTGTGTGTAAGGTTAAAAAAAGTCAAAAACTGCACCATTTGGCTGTTGTAAATGGGTGACCTTCATATTTCTTTTCCTGAAGGTGAATGTATATGAAAGAGATAAGCTAGAATGTCAACTAGCAATATGTCAGCTATGGCATGTGGGTTGTTCATATCCAGGCTGTTGGCAATTAGAAAATGCCAATTAAATGAAAAGCCACTTCTCCATGGTGTAAGGTGGAAGAATCTACCTTGCTTTCATGGCAGGACTAGATGATGTACTATAAAAGGCTGTTGTATTTTACCCATTGATCTCTAGAATACTGTAAGAGGGAAGAAAATATGGAGAACCTTGAAATTCAGAGCCAATTATTCTTCCCAAGTTTTGCATGATTCTTGGGATGGTGAGTAATGGGTTGCTGTTCTGCACAGCAGCACAGCTGTACAGCTACTGGATTTGCTTCAACAAAACATCAACTTTTCAGTAAAAAATTGGCTGCAAGAAGATAACAGATGTACAAAAGAAAATAGGGAAAGAATAAATCTTAACATCTTTATATTTTGTTTACTAGGAATTTTTAAAGGGAGAAAAAGCTTAACTGTTATGGCAAGTTGATATTTTTGCCCTTATAAACTATTTTTATTGTACTAATTTGTTCATATTATTGTACCACAGATAAGAGCACTGTTGTTACAGCTTGGCAGGTTCATAGTCAACCTTCCTTTTCCAAATACTTGTATCTTTGGTACTATTTAAGTGGCAACAGAAGCTGGCAAGAATCTACGGCTACACTTCTTGTTCTTTTTAACTATGAAAAACACACTGGTTAACTCTTGTCTTTGTTTAGTCTATTGTTTCAGTTTCTTTGAAAAGACAATGGCAGACATTTTATGGGAGCGAATTATGGTTCAATCTCTAAGAAGTTTATTTCTGTTTGCTAACAAACTGGTCTTTTGGGGGCTTTGTATTTCTTATAGTAGCAGTCATGGACACTAATTCCCAAATATGGGCTTGTAATTCCTGCATGGGGTTATAGTCACAGAAATATAAAAGGCACAGGAACTAGGAATAGTGACATAATCCCACAAGTGTTACAGAAAGAGAGGTCATAATGCCCTTTAAGTGAAGCTGTGACTGGAAATGTTCAGGACTTACTGTCCCAGTAAACCTATTGTCCTCATTATATGAACTCTCTGTGGGCACCAGACAAACACATAACAGAAAAGCTGTCTTCTGCCCAGAAAAGCTTATTTTCTAATTTACAGCTTCTTTGAGCAGCTACTGTCCACAATAAATCTCAAAAGGTTGCTTTCTCTTAACAGTGCATTAGAGTTTTCACTGAAGCAAGCGCGGAGCTCGGGCAACGCTGACCTGCACACGCTCCCGAGAGTTTCCACTGGAGTGGCTCTGGTGCTCACAATCCATCCTGTTCCTGCCAGTGCCATAAAAACTGATGTTTTCAGAGGCAGGGAAGGGCAGGGAAGCAGGCAGTGATACTTCCTGAGAACAGCTTCCCAGTTCTGCAACACTTTGAAAGTCAGGGACTTCTTGAACCAGAAATAATCATGTGGGTTTGAGGTGTCTTTGCCTCAGGGGATTTCTCTTCCAAGAACTTGTCTAGTTTTCTATTGAACCTCTGTCATCTACACTTGGGGCACAGTGTTCTGGTCCAAAATTGCATATTGTTGTGAATGTGCCTTGTTTTGCTGGTTTAGTGGCTGGTACCTGCAAAGTTGCCAGGGTAGGAAAGTAGTGCTTGTTAGGACAAGCAGTACTTTCTTGGGATGGCCCCAGAATAACCAAATGCACACTTCTTTTTACAGCAAAAAAATGATGAATATTATGATACTGTAGATACCAATGCTTTAAAAAAATGTATTTTAGTAGTTAAAAGCTTCTATAGGTGATAGCTAACCAATATGTCAGGAAAAATAACTAGTGATGGGAAAAAACCCCAAAAAACAGCAAAAAAGAGCCTCTAAACTATTGTTCTGCCTAGAAGACCCTGTGTACATAACCAGATAGTCTTCTTGTTCACAGCCTTGGAAGAAAAGACAGAGAAGTGTGTCTTATATTTATGCATCACTGGATTTTTTACATATAGTGGTTCAGGAATTACATCACACAAGGTTTTTACTCTCCATCTCCTTTTACAATTCACTTTTAGGTATGGTATGTTTACTGCCAAGTAAACACACACCTTAACTTCCAAAAGTGACCACAGCAGTCTTCATTTGCTACTCTTTTTTAAAATGTAATTTTCACTACTTGATAATTTGAATGAGCACTTGATCAGACAGAGGACATGTATTGAAACATTTGCATATCTTGCAAGTGAAGTTTTGCATGTTGTAAAAACAAATTCACTCTATAGTTTCACACGAAGGCTTAAAATAATTATTAAACAAGTCTTTGTTTTCATGCTGGGCTGAGGTTTCCTTCCACATCTGTAGTAAATTGTCCTAAGGAACATTGATTCAAAAGAACTAGATTGTCTTTTAGTAGCATGGTTAGGATAGGCAGATGAGTCATGAGGAAGATTACTGTTATAGTTGATGTCAGGAAAAAAACTGGGGTTTTATGTATTATATTTCAGCAAGTAAAACACATAAAAATTTGGTCTCTTTAGCAAGATCATCTGGTTTCACTAAGTCTTGTGTCACCCTTTGAGCAGTCTACCTTCTATGTCTGAGGGATGAAATGCTAGAATATAAAAAATAGTTAGAAGTTTTTCTGCCAGCGTTATTGCCACTAGACAATTTTCCAGCATGTGATTGATGGTAAAGGTTTCTGCATCATACATAATAATTCCAGGTGACTTTTGCAGACTGCATTTAAGTTGAATGGCATCTGATGTAATTTAATGAGCAAATTGTCCTTTATATGAACAGTGAATCCTGTACCACCAGTTCCTGCAGCCTTTCTCTCCAAGCAACATTAATAATTGTCTTTTCTGAGTTATTCCTTTACCTTTTTTTTTGGGGAGTCTTAGACTTCATCCATCTTCCTGGTAGTGAGGGAGAGCTGTGTTACACTGTTAGAATTCAAGACAATCTAAGTTACAAAAGAATACTTTTCTTCATAGCACTATTTTGCAAAGTATGCATGCGTGGCAGGAGAGTTACTTTTATTTTTTTAACTTGAGGCAGATAGTGTATAAAGTGTATAAAATTCAGTGGAAGCCCAAATTGAACTGACAGATTATACACTAGGATTTGAAGAAATGACGTTAGTATAATATAGGAGGAAAACCCAGTGTGAACCAGCCTTCTTGAAAAGGGATAAAAAAATAAATTAATTTGTGATAATACTTATTTTAGGGAGAAGGAAATGAGCTGAAGTAGAAATTATATTAGTCTTTGCAGTCTTGCAAAGAAGGGTGATGTATATAAAAAAGCAACTAAATAATTGTGGAAGTTATGCTTTGATATTTGTGTTCTTCTCTCTTAATTCTATGTATGGCCACATGTAACTATGGCAGGTAAAGTCAACTTTTTGGAAACAATTCTAAAAAGTTCTGGTTTCAGCTGCAAATGTCAAATATCATCCTAAGGCTGTTTCTGATTTCTCTCTTGTGATGGGCATTCGCAAAAATCCAGAGAACAATAATGTAAACTTGATTTTCAGTTTTGAGTTAGACACATAAGGAAGAAATTTCTGATCTATAATGTAATTTGAAAACCCAACTTATACTTAGACAAGAATTAAATATTCTATCCGTATCTGATTTGGTTTTTATTGATGATCTATAGATGGTGTGGCCATTATTTCTGTGAAAAACTGCTCAGTTTTCTTCAAGCATTTCTCCCTATGCTGTTTTACCATCTGTTGATGAATGTAAGTAAATATTGTTATTGTAAAGATAGTCTCTAGTCTGGCCTGTAACGTGTGATCCAAATTAAATCTTGGCTCTCTGGGGAGTTTGTGATTTTTAGTGGTTCTGAGTGTATGTGACTGAGAGTGTGTATAAAAACCACAAACCACCAAGGTCATTTTTATTTATTTATTTATTTGCTTTGGAGACCCCGTCCCTGCTTTGGGAGGGGGTGCTAGAAATCTGGGTGCATGAGGTAAGTCCTTCTTACATATGGAGTGAATTAGGAAAGGCTGAGAGAGAAAAATACTGCATTTTCCAGCATCCATCAGTATGAAACTGGAATATGTGTTAAGCAGCTGCCAACTTTACATGCTGAGCAGAATACTGACAGTAAGCTTGTCATCTTTAAGTTGCTCATTTTACCAATATGTTTCTCTTTGGTCTTGATGGAGGGAAAATCTTAGGCAATCTCAAGTATATTAAGTAGTGAAGCACACCAAGTTAGAATTGTTTAAATGGAAAATTTAGCCACATTAATAGTGCATCATCTTTTTTCTATTAAGAAAAAAAAATAGCAAAGGTTACAGGACAAAATTTAAATAAAACCAAGTTAAATAAAGACAGAGTGGCCCCATGGTGGGAAAAGAATTAGCCTAAAACAGCTTGAGAGGAAACAAACACATAGCAGGTCTAGTTCTGTATCTGTAAATAAATACAAAATTAAACACTGAAAATTGACCTAAGAGGCTCTCCTTGATTTTGGAGGAGATAATTCATTGGAAAAGTCAGAATAACAACAGACATAAGTCAGGTGTATTTGAAAAAAGAACTAAATTCTTAAATATTATTCAGAAAAGTATTTAAAATAACACCAACAGTGCGTGAAATGATACTCTTTTGGGTTATAGTTGTCTACATGATATTATTCTCAGTAAGTAAAGGAAAACAAGGGAAGGGCTCACTTTTCTGATTTTTTTACAGTGTGAAATTCAGCCATTTTTCCAGATGTCTCTGTACAGATGTATCCAGTTGGGCAAGCCAAAAGGGTATTCTGCTGTTTCATTGAATAGAGCTCTTTGTAAATTCAGCACACTACATTTATATAGTATTTGGCTAAGCAGCTACCTGAAGTGATGCAGAGAAAGCAGATGAAATATACTCAAATTTAATATCTTGTGCTTTCACTTGTTCTGAGAAATATTTTTCTCACTGAAATGTTAAATGCTAGTGTGAACTGAAATTAAATCTTAAGAGTAAGAAAACATCTAGGACTTCATTTTTAAAGATATAGAAAAAAAAAGACTGCAAAACATATTCTATGAATCAACCATATAATTCCAATATGAATAATGAAATAAATTTTAATGGTATTACTAGAGGGTGAATTAAGCAGTTCTCAACTGATTAAAATGACATTGTGCACTTTGAAACAACACTGAATAAAGCATCAGATTGGAAACCTTGTGAAACCTTGTGATCAGAGAAATATTCATAAGTTCTGATCAAGTATATAGTAAAGACAGGCCTGAATCAATGTCCTTTGTACCCTTATCCAAAGTAGACCAAAATGCTGAGGCATGTAACATTCCTGTTGTTAGTGTATCATTCAGAATAACTTCCATGATTCAAGTTAATGCACTATGAATACTCCTGGCTTCTATTAGGAACTCTATGTCCCCTCTTCTGGACAGCAGAAATTATTTTAATTGCATACCCTGCATGCTGGCATAAAAGAAACATTTTCACTTACTCTCTCAGTTCCACAGTTTAACTCAAAGTGTTAAAAGTGCTTCTGCTAAATATAAACCAGGTTTTCCACTAGCTCTTTTATATTTTAGATTTCTCAATATTTCTCAGTATTTCTCTTGATTTGGCAGGTCAGTCTGTTTATAGAGGCACTGACCATGATTACCTTCCGTTGGTTTTGCTTTTGCAGGAGGCAATCAGAACTTTGTAGAGTCAGGGTTTTTTCTTAAGTTTCCAAAGTTCTTCTAATTGAGAGATGAAGAGAGACAGAAGGAGATAGAAAACTTGATGGCTTTGTAACAAATACATTTTTAAAGTGTATTTGCCTAATGGCAACATTATTAATTGAAACTTTTTAAAAGAAATATCAAATTTGTCCTAATCTGCTAAAGTCCTATAAAAAGCAACACTGTAAGAGCTAGTAGTTTAAACATGCTGATATAGAATGGTTCTAGTTTAGGAATATAAAGCTGGTGAGGTTCAGTCTCGGGTTGCTTCTTGAGTCACTGATCGACAAAACAGCTACCATTTGATGGTTCTGGTTTCTGCTTCACCTGAAGCATTTCAGTGTGAGAATTGTAGGGGAAAAGTACAGTTCTTCTAATAAGACAAAAAGTGACAGAACTGATTTTGCTCAAAAGTAAGCAAAAAATTGCTGTGAATTGGAATGAAATTTGTTGAGTATTGGCACCAGCACAGCTTGTTTTAGTACTACAATTAGAACGAGTCTGCAGCCTTCATATATCCAAACTGACATCAGTCTGGAGTGACTTTTCCAGAAAGAGTAGTATGGTGAAAAACAGAGTAATGTGTAGGCATCCTCAGCAGTGGCATGCCAAACAATGAACCATGTGGTTTACTGGTGCAGTTTTTAAAAAAAGGAACTGCTACAACATGACTGTATTTCCCTACATCCACCCAGAAGGCTGGACAGTGTGCAGAAATGGATAATTTAGTGTATGACTGGGATGCATGTTTAAGAAAGATCTACCTTACACCATGGTATGAAATGATCTCATGACTTGTAAATAGTTTTCCCAGATTAATTATAATCCTGAAATTCAGGAATATTTTAAATCACACTGATTATATAGATAGATTATAGTCTTTATGTGTATACACATGATATACATAATTAGAGAAATGTGCTTCATTCAAACCAACTGCAATCATGAAATTACTTTTTCCCATTAAACTTCACAGGAGGCTGTGATTACATCCTTTTTATTTTTAATATGAGTTCCCTGCAATTCCCAAGCTCTCAAATGTTTCAAACCAGCTGTAGTAGTAGGACTTTTAATTATACTCTTGCTTAGTGAGTGACATATAGCTCTTTCTCAGTTTGAATTAGCCCTGGAAAAACAGATAGGAGTAATATGAACTAAAAAACTAAATGCAGAACAGCTGTGGACAGAAATAAATGCCTTGATTGAAAACACTCCCCTGATAGTTTCCTTGAATGTTGCTATGGTACAAAAGTTGCATTTTTATTATAGGTTTCCTAAAGTGACAGGTGTTCTTTAGAGCACCTTTCCTGTGCTTTTACCTTTAATTTTAAAAACTAAGTTGTTAATTTGCAATATACTTCGATATATTGAAAAAGACAGCACATTATTTTTCTTACAGTGACTATGTGTAAATTTACCATATGTAAAATGCATCTGGACAGAATCTTTTCTGGGAAAGGGTCTAGCCTGCATTGGGTGGAATTTCTGATGATTTAGAGGTTATTAATAACCTTCCTGTAATTGAAAAATAAAAAAACTATGAAATGATTGAACTGAAAGTGATAAGCTTTATCAATTAAAAGTGTATTTTTTGATAAATTTTATTTCTCGATAAATTGTATTTCTCTTTTTTAAAACTTTTAATTTCAAAAATATTAACATTTTGTTTTAAAAATATAACCTGTGCCACTATAAATATACAAATTTTTAATTGAGAACTTAATATTTGATGCATTTTTACTTAGGGTAAAGCAGGTTAATAGTATCTGAAAAATGAACCTGAGCCTTACTTCCATCACAGTAGCAATTCTTCAGTGCCATGGGAGTTTTTAGAAAATAAGCAGGAAAATTATAACAAAACCACCAAAACAAGTCTGTCTTAAAGTATGGTCTTTGGAAATGACACTTCCAAGTTCCCAGGTGCAGTTGGATTGTTAACTGTGTCAGCAATCCAAGCTCAGAATCCAACAGATTCTGGGCTTGGTGCTTCTCAGCTCAGTAGCACTTTGTGTAAGCAACCACACAACTTTGAAACAAACAACAACTTGGGGCATGAATCCAGAACAGTTGCAAAAGCATAGACTTTTCTCTTTGTCTTGAAGTAGTTGTATCATTGCTGAGCATGACTTTTCATAACGAGCTGGGCTTCTAAATTCACTTTCTATCAGCTTTGTCTCGTTCATACTCAGGATTTAGCTAAGCGTTCAGATAGACATCACAAATCTCTGTTGACTTCCATAGCTAACCAATGACATGAACTGCAATTTAGAGACTTGCTTTTGATATCAGCATGATATTAGCCTGAGATAAGTGTTACAATGCTTGCTGGGGACTTGGTATGATTACAGACATGCCCCCGCAGAGTTGGCTGGTAGAAACTGTGGCAGCATGGGGCAGAAAACCTCAAGTTCTTTGGAATGACAATATTTTAGAGGAGTGATAATACTTGTTTCATCCCAAAGCCTCTTAAGGACGTCCTTCACTTTGGGAGGTTGGAAGTATGTACCAAACTCTCCCTGAAGAGTCAAGTGGAAAAAATTTCTCCTGGAGGAATTCAATCCAAAAATCTAACTCACATGTGTTGACTCTCTTTTCTGCTGGAGGAACGTGTCTCTCTTAACCAGGTACAGAAGGTGTCACAAGCAGCTAGTTTAATACCTAACACTGACATTGGCTTGGGAATGTGTGTAAAATACCCCGAGCAGTGTTTCAAAGACATTTTGAATGGTGTCATTTTTGTCCATCTCACAGGACATACTACCAGAAGAAACTACACCAAGCTCCTTTTGAAATCTCTGACTAAATGCTTGAACATGCAACACTGCTAGTGCTGAATACCCTCTTTGCATACATTTTTGCATAAGAAGTTTCTATACACCTATGTAGTTCTCTTGAATCAAACAATATCACTACCCAGAGTTTAAATTCTGGATTCCTTGGCCAGATTTCTATTCTTTGAGAGGTTATAGCAGTCTTCTAGCTGGTATTAATAAATAAATGTAATATTTTACACTAGAAAAAATAGCTAGTCAGAAAATTTCAGTTCATACAGCATAAATAGCTGACATTTCTGTCACCTGCAGCTTCCTGAAGATTGATACATTTGGGGTTTTTATATTGCAAGATAAGCTTCATAAAACTGTACTAGAGAAAGAATGGAGAATGAAGGCAAATATGGATTTTGCAATTACATCTGAGCATAAATCAGCTTGCTTCATATTGCTTCCAAGTTTTCTGTTCCCTTATTTTGGATAAAATGAGCTAGTTAAAACACAAACTAAAATGCAATTTTGAAGAAAAATGATTGTTCTTTGATTTTTGTGTTTTGATAAAAGTGATGCAGTTTTTAAACAATCTGATGTTCAACCTGAATACTTGGGCTATTTCAAGGGAATGTACAACAGCTAACCTTTCACCACCAGAATTTAAACTTGAATTAATACCTTCATCCAGGCTGTCAGAATGTGAATGGAGCATGTTTTACAAGATCCTAAAAGTAGGCTACAAAAATGCTGCTTTCCTAACTCCATTTGATTCAAATGGATTCCTATGTAGTATTTTCAGAATTCCTCACCACAGTTAGTTTTGCTCTGGAATCTGATAGCCAGTTGCTTTTTCAGCTGAAGCAAAACAAAACAAACAATGCAAAATTGTCCTCAAAATGAACACTGACAATAAAAGCCCAGCTGCTGTAAGAAGAAGCTGTTAATTCTTACTGGTGTGGGAATAAATCACAAACTCTAAAGGGCTTTCCTAGGATACATTCAGAGAGGAGTGGGAGGACAGTCATTGCCTTCCTTTACTTAGGCAGCATGAGAAGGACATCTCAGCCAGATCTTGGACATGAAATTTCTTCCCGCTAATGAGAACTATTTTTAAAGCACTTAGAATGTTTTGTTAGCTATAGCAATAATAATGGAGTTATTAATATAGCATCACTCTGTCTAGACAGATCTATATCTAGCTGAAAATGATGAGAACAAAAAGAAGAGAAACAGATTTATTTCTGAATTCAAACATCTCTAATTCCAAAAGTTTCACTGAGTTCCCACCACCCACCATGCTGAAATGACACTAGTGTACAAGAAGTTGGCAGAACATGATGCTTATGGCAAGCGTGCACCGTTACTTTTTTGGATTGCACCAAGGACTCACTGCCATGTTTAGCAGCCAGGGCTCAAAGGTTGCTCAAAGGCCAGAGCTGATATCAAAAGTCAGGTGGCCCAGTTACACAAATAGAACTAGAACTTGCTGTGAACCAAACACATGTGTCCCCAAATGTGAGAAATGTATTTGTAAAGGATTCTCAAAACCTGACTGAATGCTCACACAGTCTTGTACATCTGTATGTAAACTCTGAGATAAGGTGTGCTGACTTAGAAAGGCCATGGAATAGAGATGACATTGTTGTGAGAGAGAGATTGAACTAGTTGCAAAGTTTCAAAACAAGTTTCAAACTATGGCTTTGCAAAAAGACGACAAAAATTAGAACTTTGAAAGATGCATTGTAGCATGACCCCGTGGAGTTAAATAATGGATGATTGGTGTTAGAGGTGTTAGCAGCATTGTGTGGCAAAAGCTAATAGGCTGAAAAACATTTATAAGGTATTGTATCCAGAAAACAGATTGGATTCTGATAGAATGGCATTGAGTTTTACATCTCTTGTGTCTCACCCTTCTATGAGACTGATAATGGAATAAAATCTTTTAAATTGATGCACCTCTCAGCTGCCCCGTCTCTGTAGAGCTGGGAGTTTCCAACCCCCAGACTCCTGCAGATCAGCACAACTCACCTGTCCTGTTCCCTCTGGAAACCTATGGGCCTGTACCTTTGCACCACAGGCCAAGCAGCCTTGCAACCTTTCATCCTTCGAGTTCAAGCAAGTGCTCAGTTCCCCCTGCAGCACCCACATTCCCTCCTGCTCCCAGTAATCTCTTACAAACCTGTGCCATGTGTAACCACCCACCCCCAGAGATGTCCAATTCCTTCCTTTGCTTGAGAAGCTCTTCCTCTGGGAGGAGCTCCCTCAAGTCAAGCAGCTGCCTCAAACTTTCATGTAGAGCAAACTGCCTTCTTCTTGCCTAAGGTGCTGTTTTCCCCCTACCACCTACCAGGTTCGTGGTTTAACACTTATCCAGGCTAAATTATAGCTCTCACGTAGTAACAGCATTGTGCAGTTTTTATACCATGTATTGTCTGGCATTGGGAATTTGGGTAGCTCCTGAATGACAAAAATGATTCCCCAGACTAACTCTCACTCATTGAACCTTTCATTCTTTTCCTAATGTTAAAATGTGCTTTTCAACATTTTTTCAGGATTTTGTAGGTCTTCCATTTTTTTTTCTGCTAGAATGTCAAATGCTTCAACTTCACTGAAAGTAGAGACCATGACTGCAATGCTGACCATTTTTCTTTTAGTGGTTCATAACACTCCTCAGGCACAGTGCAACTCTGTGGAAATATTCAGTGGTTTTCCATATTTCTGGATGTTTTAAACTCTGCTTATTACTGCAATTTATAACTCTTGTATTTCCATCAGTGAAAAAGGTCTTGAGAAAATGTGCTTGGAGAGTTCCTCATTGGGAGAGGAAGGAAGAGGGAAATACTGGGTATCAGTAGGGGTGGCAGTGTTTTACTGCAGTGAAAGCATCATGCTATGGTTATATCCTTGATCCCAAACTTGGAAACTGCACAAGGGTCTTCTACTAGCTCAATCCAAGTTCCCAAATCCTTAAATCCCCCAAACCTGTATCCCAGCAGATATCACCCAGCCAGCAATCTCATCTTCTCTGACCTCTATGTACCAAGGCCTTTCCATTCATTATCAGTGTACTCCAGTGCTATTGATGCTTTTTCTTTGCCAGGTCACTCCAGACTCCTGAGATGATGTCTTGAAGCTTTCTCCTCCACTGTGTCCTGGATGCTCATCTGTAAGTTCCTTATTTCTGTCTACATTCAAATCCTTTTCCACCTGTGCATTCACCCCATTAACCTCCCTCCCCATTCCAAGTCTCTGTGTCTGTAGGAACAATTACTGACAGATCAATTTATGTTTTTAAAGCTATGGATTTATGAACCTTCCCCATGTCCTCTTTCATTCCCTTGGATGCTAGCGCCTGCTAGCTGGCTGAATGTATCCCCTTTCTTGGATCTGCCCTCAGAAATAAACATGCCCCAGCCCTTGTTTCTGGCAGATCTCTAAGAAAACCTGGACACTGGCTGCAGTAATCAAAAATCTGCTCAGAGGGCAAAGTCGGTATGAAGAGTCCATGTAGAGCCCTGTAGGAACTGCTGTCCTTCAGTTCTTGATTTATTTTACCCCTGGTGCACACTTTGCTCTTGGTTCTGTAATCACTCAGAGCAAGAAGGTCAGCTCCTAAAGGCCCACTTAAATCAGCATCTGTGGTCTAACTGATCAGCATTACATAAGATGAACTTGAGCATAACATAACCGGTCCCAACTGAAAGGTAAATTGCTGCACAACATATGCAAAATACATGATCATGTGAAAGATGAACAAATTGCTTGGCTTCCTTCTCCAGTTCTGTAATCTCTTCCATGTGGGAACATCTCTGTCCTCATTCAGATCCCTCATGGCCTCCATGGAGTTCTGTCCCTTCCTGCTGTGGCTCTGGCCATGAAGCAGCAGCATTTGACACGATCCTTGAAATGACTTTTCTGAATCTCTTGTTTCCATAGGGTGTTTTGTGAGGCTTTAATGAGGCTGAGGGAGAAGCAGAATGAACAGGAAGAGAGGAACCTGGGTTTGTGCCAGAACATGTGGTGGATAGTAGTAATATGATTTCTAAAATGGAGGTGTTGCAGCCAATGAGCTCAGTATTTCCCATATTAATGAATTTTAAGGTTGGCAAGAAGCTGCTTAGACAAACACAAGAAGCGTAACTAGGAAGGATAAGAAATACTCTGTTCATATTACTCTCCCCACCCATATTTGTATGTACACAAAACCCCCTCTGTTTATTTTAAATTCTCCTCAGATTAAACAGTGAGATGACTTTAAATGACCAGTTTGGCGGCAGTTTGGAAATATTATATCCAGAGAGAATTTTATTCCCAAACTGAATTATATGTAGCAAAGTGCAAGTTAATAATTTGGCCATGAAAGAAATAATAAGATTAAAAAGTATTTCTTAGTATCAGTCAGCCATATGTATTCCAGAACAATTAGTGGTTTTGATTATTTGGATGAGGTTCCTGTGTTGGCACTTGCTGGGAATACAGCAAAGTGACAGTGAAAAAGAGTAGTATAAAATTTTAATTCTCTTGATACTGTCCAGAGTGGCAATATTTTTTTCCCCTGAGTTATTGACCTAAACATCTATTTTGATTTTGTTGAATCCTGAAAGGGATGATGCTTTAGACTTTTTTTTTTTTAACTAAAAATGAGTTGAAACACTAATTTTCCCAGGTTTTTTAGCTTTCCAAAGCCTGCTGAAAGGAGACAGTATTTGTTTATACCACTCTTCAATTTTTTGAAGGTTTCCATTGGAATTACTGTAGAAAGATAAAATGTTTTGCATATTTGCTACTGTATATTCTGTTGTAGTTCTAACTTCAACACCAATATATTTCCTTTGCATTTGTGCTTTGAATTGGTTTCACTGATGAAGACACAATAAATTATACATAAAAGAAAGTGATCTTCTAAGATGATGTTCATTAGGCAGTTCTAACTTGTAACGCATCAGAAACCATATGCTTTGTGCATTGGCTCACAGCTGTAAAACTGACTTGAAATTACCAAATGAAGGCTTGGTGCCAGTTTCCAGTGAAACCAATGACAAAATTTCATTTATTTTGATGGTTCAGAGCGAACTGTGCAATATTCACAACTACAAATTAAAAGTTTTTGGTTTTGAGCCAGTCTCATTTTTCCTTCTGCAGGTTTGTAATGCTGAAAATATAGGCAAACCCCCTTCCCCCTTTTTTAGTGTATGAAGATATTAAAAAATCTAGTCTGTTTTTCAGTCATTTTAGTCCCTTCTGTTTTTTCACTGCAAACCAAGTAACTCAGGGCAGTCAGGCTATAAGGAAAAGGAGACTGAAGTGTCAAATGTTTCTGGTCACACCTCAAGTGATACAGAGAGCAGCATGCCTGTGTGAGCCCTCATAGCGTCTCAGGGGGTTGGAGGGGCAGGTGCTGTCCCTCAGTGTCCATGACATTGCCAGACATACCATTCCACTGCAGATTCCATTCGTAATCTGACCGTGAGCTCAGGTTGTAAAAGGAGAGACCATTTACTTTGTGGGGAGAGGGCTGTTCAAGCACCAAAGGGGCATTTTGGGAAATGATCTCACCCTTTGTTAAAAATCCATGTAATTTATTAATATCATTGCTCTATATTGTATGGAACTGTCTGTCATCTGCACTAGGACAAAGCCTGTAACATGCCGCCAAATTAATGATGGAAGGCTTCCAAACTGTTGAAGGGATTTCTGAACATATATCCTTTTGTTGAGGATGTATGTTCAGAAAGAAAAGTGTGTGAGTGGTATCTCTTTCACGCTTCTCTTTTTTGCTTTCCCAACTTTTAAAAGATTTCTGCCCCTTTTAACCTTAGAAAAGAGGCTAGGCTTATGTCTTGTAGACTGAAAGTGTTCACTGTCTAAGAAGTTTGAGCCTCTTAGCCGGGAGTTCATGCTGGACTTCAAGTGAAAACCTATCCATAATCCTGGAATCATCATGAAGCAGAGCATGTTTGAGGCATTTACAGCCTCCTGGCATTGTTGCTGAGGGACAAATTCAAATGGCTGATCTGCCAGGCTTGTCAACACCTTTGAAATGTGCTGCCTCGCCTGGTCCCTCAAAAGACACCTTGGAGAGAGACAGGGAGCCAAAGTGACAGACAAAGCCAGAGTCCGCCTACTTGTCACATTTTCTCCCCTTGTTTCCTTTCCTGTTTTATAATTGCCTTTCTTTTGGCTTGTTCTTATCCCAACACTAATGTTGTAATATTGGTAAGTGGTTTAATTAGAAGATTTATTAACTTGTGTTTTTAATCTTTTTACTGAGAAAAAGTACCAACAACTGAACATCAAAATAAAAGCTATTACACAATCCAATAGTTGGGTGCAGTCTGTCCCCTTTGAATTCCATGGCTAAATTCCCATTTGCTTTCATGGGAGCCTATTAAGGAACTAGCTAATGTTATTTTGTAATATGTATGCCACATGGGGTCTCAATTTAGTCACTTAACTAAAGGCACCCAAACAAGTGGCCTTCATTTTATTGCTGTGAATGACTCAAGTAACTAAAGGGGAAGACAAGTGCCTAATTTTAGTATGTCCACAGTTGAATATGGTAACCACAGTCCAGTACCATAACATCATTTATATGGGTTGGCATTTATCAGTCACACTGGGAATGGCTTAATAAAGAGTGCTTCAAAAACACTTCTGTTGTGTATATCCCATAAATCTAAAGTAAAAGCAGATAGCAAAGTAAAGAAGTAAATATGGAACAAAAATATGGGATTAGCTTGACAAAAATAAATTAATACCTGTCTGAGGCTTTGTTCATGTTAGTAATTAATACCTTTTTTCAGTTAATTTTTAATATTTCAAATAATTAATGTCTTAAAAATATAAAGCAATTTAAACTGTCATCAGAGCTGGGATAGGGCTTGTCTGGAGCAGCATTCTGCAATTTGGTGAAAATCCAGGTGCTTAATTTAGAGCAAAAAGAGTTCAATGCACTTGGTTATTAAACACAAAGCTATAAACAAGTGCTGCAATATTTGGGAGATAATGACCTCCAACATCACCTAATTTTTAAAAATTAGGTTTCCAAGCCACAATAATATAAACTAAGATACTTGGAATTTACAAAGCCATTGTTTGCTCTTTTCATAGGATGAATATTAGAATTTCTCTTGTCTGTTTGAGGATTAAGGCCAAATCTGATTTTTTGTTACACCTTTGTAAAGCAGAATTGCAAGTTCCACTAGTTTTAAAAAACTGTATATATTCAGAAAGTATGGGTCTTTATAAGAATAGATGTATAAGTATCTCCTGGCTTTAAGTGTTAATCAACATATGCATCACACAGAGCATATGCATATGCCTGTCTCTTGAGACCACATATTTTATTCCTTTAGCACTTTGGCGTGTGAGCTTTGTGATTTATGCACATATATATAATGAGAAAAGTCTCATAATGTTTCCCTTCTCAGTGACACAATTGTGCTGGAGTTCTTTGCTTTTTGACAGCTTTCAGTGTGTGATTATGGGTTAGGCTTCTTTTGGTAAGCCCTGAACTATTCTTCATTTTCCCTGGGGAGCTGTGTACAGCTTCTGCATATTTATCTCAGCTCTCCATTTTTCATTTGAATCTTCTCAAGAAAGTGACAGAATTACTTCTGGCTTCTACTTAGTGGTGTGCAAGATGCCTTTATTGTTTAGGAGAAAGGCATATTCCAGACTTTTCTAGTATCCACCTTTCAAGCCTCAATCTTACAGGATGGGAGATCCTAATCTTCAGAATTATCTCTGCCAGTGGTCTTGCTTTGACCTTGTTTGGGCCTTCAAAACCCACATATGCTTGGTCAGGTTATATCATACTACTTCAACAGAAGATTTTGTCCAGCAAAATTTGGTAGGTCTTGAGAAGATTCCTTCACCCTAAAAACCTTTGTTGCACTCTTCCTTGTTCTTTTTTGCTGGTAACCCCAGAATCAAGGCACCAGTAAAATTTGCCAGGAAAATGATTCCAAGAAAAAGGTACTAACCATATTCTGTGTCTTTGTCCCAGGAGATGTCTGGGTCCTAGCAGGTTGACCGTGTCACTGTTGTCACGGTAGCAAGTCCACTGTGAGTAATGCAGTCTTTATGGGTAGTGCCAAGTGGTTATGTATTGTGAGTAACACAATCTTTTGGGATAGTGCCAGGTGGTTGGAAGCAATCTCTGTG